CAAGCTAAGCTTACTGGGACTTTACTACATTGTTAGAAATTGTACAGTGTCGAACATGTACTGTATTGATGCAAATGAAATTGACTTATTGAATTTATCATTTAGTAGTGTAGTTTTTAGTATTTTAGTAATCTAGTATTTTGTAATTTAGTAGTGTTTTGAATACAAACAATAAAAATACCTTCTCTTAGTAATGAAATCTATTCTTTATTAGGCTACGGTCACACTAGAGATTCAAGCCTGGCTTGACTCACCGCGGGTGAGATTTTCGTAATGTGACCGCATCTGCACCGACTCACGCCTGGCGTGACCTCGATCTCAATCTACCTATCTCGATCCCGGCTCAGCACCCATATTGACCCTGGATTGACCCTGGCGTGACCGAGATTGACATTTCCTCGTCGGCTGTCGACCAATCACAGTCGATGACGCCGTTGCGTTTAGAAGTTCTTAAATTAAAAACCCGCGAGTTCTTCATGTGTGTTCAATCAAGACGCAATCATTACTTTTCATAAAAGTTAATTCAAATTTTAATTAATAATAATGCGATTGATTTGGAGCGACCAGGAAACTGCTGACCTGGTAGATTTGTGGGGCCAACCCGAGCTGAGAGACCGGATAGAAAATAAAAAAACAAACAACAAAACGGGAATTTTTGGCGTGCTTGCTGATTAGCCAGTCTCGGACATGAGAAGAGAACGACGGCCCAAATTCAAACAAAAGTGAAGGCAATGCGAGCCCAATACAAGCTGATAAAAGATCAGTTGAAGAAGAGTGGTTCGGGCACGTCTAGTGTAAAATCTTTGATTGCGATCCACCCAATTACACGCGCGTATATCGAATCCCGTGAAACAGAGTTGGCGAAACTCTCTCTTTACGGCTCTGCTGTTTCAACTTTCACAATTTAGAGGTCAATCCAACTAGTGTGACCGACCCAGAATTTCGAGCCTGGCTTGAAATCTCACCCGCGGAGAGTCAAGCCAGGCTTGAGACGCTGGTGTGACCGTAGCCTTAGATGTTTTAAAATTGATTAATATACTTTACCTTATAATACACTGATCTAGCAGACTGTGGCCTAGTAGTGTTCTGTAAACTGCCATACATGGGCTGAATAAAATGCTCAGCCATCTGTAAAATAATAATATTTATAGGAAAATGATCAAGGGTAACTATTAAAAAAGAATCTTTAACCACTGTCAGTACTACCTTACAGGCTTTCTGATGAAATAATTATTGTTTGCTTTAAAGAAAATTAAAAGGCTCTGTTTCTCACCCTGGTCATCATTTGGCGGACTGTTTCCATTTCCGATTTGAATGGGAATGCTGGTTTTAAATCTTCATAATTATTTGGATCACAAATTCGCCTGGAAATAAACAAGGAATATGAGTGTGCTAGAACATAACCTGCAGTTAAAATTGAATCATCCCTTAGATTATTGTACCATTCCACTAAATTTTATAATGATCCATTCATTAGGTTTTGCGTAATCTTGCTAACAAACAGAGCTGTGAATACATAACCTCCTTGGTGGAGGTAAGTAAGGATTGATTTCAGGCTCAACATAAATGCTTGTTGTTTACCTGTCACTTAATGTTCCTTACTGTATTTCAATGCTTACATTATATTTGAATTATGTGTATAGAATTATGATATTATATATTTTGTCGTTGTCGTGAGCCCCTCGACATTAAATTAATTTTACTTTTGGGCAATCCTGCCACTTGGCAACAACAACTATTTTTATATATTATGGCGCAAAAAAAATGAAATAAAATATGGTATTGAAATTTCAATACCATACATAAGTAGAAACCAAATGAAGTTATTTGATCATTAATGTTCCCTGTTGTTTATTGTACTGATTAGCTAAATTTAGTAAATTTATACTAACTTTGAAATTGTTTGCAATGCATCTAC